CCCCAAAACCCCAAAACCCCAAAACCCCAAAACCCCTCTATAATTTTCTATGTTGGTGAGATGCACTAGGATTCGATTACCCATATATTTTCTTTTAAATTTTTTTTTTAGAGAAGAAAAATTTAACCTTCATTATACTCACCACTAAACTTCATAAAACTAAATAGCTCAACATAAGTCTGTTTATACTCTTTTTATTGAATAAAATGAGGAATAACTCTGAATATTATTCTTTAATAATTTTAAATAGTTATTATTGAAATTAACAGATTTATTTTAAGAAAAAGCCATCAATTATTTCGAAATCTCTAGGGCTGCCTAGAACCCGTACTTTAGGATAGATGCATAAATAATCCTTGTTCATCATCAAAACCTTCCTAAGTTTTCGCTTTTTTATTTTCTGAGCCTGAAGCTTCTGGTATCGCTTATAATTTATTTTAAGAGCTAAAGCATCCAGGAATTTATCAATAAAACTAGAAAATTCATAAAATTGGATGTTTTTCTTTAAAGCTTTTTGATAAATTTTTCTCACAGGGTAATCAAGAATCAGATTTTTCTCCTTATGAACAAGTTTGAGGGATATCACTAATATATTGAAGAACTCTTCAATCGGCTCTTTTCTATCTTTACATTGAACTCATGGTTTATTGCCAATCACCTTGTTCCTCATTAGGACAGACTTTAAGGTATTCTTAGGTGCGCTTACATCTGAGAACGAACTTTCTGATTTCAAAGCCTGTAAGTTAACCAGTAAGTATTTACATTATTGGCAAATAAAGATCCTCTTTTGTGAGATAATTGATCAGTAAGTTTCCTTCTACTTGAGTTAAATATTCTGGGATCTCTGCATTGGTCCTGCCTGAAATATCCTTTTGCTACCTTATTAAACATCTTTTCTGCATTAGACAGCAAAGTTTTTCTAGCTGGATGCGGAAGAGTCTGCCTGTTTGGAGATTTGAGCGGAGACTCATTCCTTGCAGTATTAGGCACTCATAAAAGGTTTGGCTTTGGGAGCTTCTTGTCTATTTCCTACTATATTATTTTATTAGCCTACCTTTGTGCTAAAGCTTTGCCTGACAAGTAGATTCTTGGGAGGTTCAATGCTTCTATTCGAAGGAGAAGTTTCAAAAGGATCGCAAAATAAAGACCCAATCTCATCTTTAAAATAACGTGATTCTGAATTTTTTGAATAAGAAGAGCCTCCTCGAGGGTTGAGGTCAATAGTACTATCATCTTTAGGATCTACAGGCCTCAGAATATTTAATGAAAATTTTGGTTGGGGCTTGTGTTTCAGAAAAATAGGATCTTTCCTTTCCTCTAGATGAGCAAATCTACTATCTTCTTCAGATGAAGAACAAATGGACTCCTCCTTTGATAATTTCTCATCTATAATGGATGACTCTTTTATCCTATCGGAGTTGAGGAGTTCACCTCTTGAGATTGCTTTTGTAAAATTCCTTGAGTTTTCTCTTGAGAAATTGTTTATCGAACTGGAGTTTTCATTGGCTTCTAAAATGGTCTCGATACCTTCTAGATATAAAGCTTTCCCTCTAGAATTTCTGAAAAGCGATAGATCACTCTCAGCTACAGTTCCAGATATATTCTTGGGAGATTCATTATTGTTCTGGGACATTAGAGAATTAGTTCTAATGAGAGTGAGATTTGACTTTGAAAATAAAGAGTCATTGGCTTCCATTACATCTCTACATGTCCCTTCTTCTTTAATAAATTGGCTTTCATCAATATTTAGTGCACTTAAGTCAGAATCTTGTCGATCTTCAAGACTCTTGTTGTTTGTGAAGAGAGGGTTTTCAATATCACTTGACCGTTGGAGAAAGTTTGGATTAGCACTGTTCTCTCTAACAACATTGTTTTTCTTATGTAAAAGATCTCAGCCTGGTTCTTCAACTGCTACAGATTTCCTTCCTGAACTAAAAGCTATACAATAGAGAAGTTCCAGTTTTTCTGCCAAGTCAAATGGTAAATATTTTATGATAGTCAAAACTCTGGGAAGAAGAAAGTTTTACTTACCATACCATTTATTGATATGATCTCTTGAGTTATACCTTTTAAGCCTTTTCCTTCCAGTTAGATAACCATTCTGCTTCTCTGGAGAACCTGGCTCAAAATTAAGATTGCTCGATCTTGATGGTAGATGACTATTTTGACTCACTGATCTTCTATGAGTATTTAGATTATTCTCTTTCTGAGTAGGCTGCTTGCTTCTTGGTTGGCTCTTAGTCAAGTGCCTCCTTTTGCTTTTCCTCCTGACATTTGAAGGACTTATTTGTTTTGTTGAACTATAAAATCTATTGAGTTTGGCTTACAAATTGAAAGAGAGTTTAGAGAGATCCAAATTTAGATTCTGGTCTTCATACTTTCGATTCAGATATTCGATATTTTTAAATTTGAGTTCTCAAAATATCAATTTCTCTGTTTAAAGCTGATCAATTTCGTTCTAATATAGTATTAGCTTGGTCTAGGTCTTCACAGTTATCTCTGTAGATTTTAACTTCATTCTTAAACCCTTGAATTTTATAGTGTAAATTTTTATACTTATTTCTCACTATTCATTTTCTCTTTCTCAAGGACGACCACGTGCGTCTTTAGGATCTCGATATCTTTTTCAAGGTCTTCGATCCTCTCCTTATCTTCCTTCTCTTTCTCTTGAAAAGAGTTGAGTTCTTCTGTGGTGTGGTCCATACTTTGTCTGAGTTCTTCATTTTCCTTCTTGTGCTTCTTGAGGAGGTCAACTAGTTTGTGATTGTATTCTTGCCCAGCTCAGTATAAGGAAAACCTATCGTATTCATTCTGGCTGTAGTCTAACTCGTTAGGGTCACAATCTAAGTCGAAGGTTTCAAAGATAGGATCATCAGGGAGGCCTATGTTATCCTCACAAGAGAAGTCAAGGAGCCTAGCAAAATTTGGTGCCTGATGAAATTGATTTATTATATCCTGCTTATCTCGAAGGTCTGACTCAAGTTCGGTGATTTTCTCTTCGTATTCCCTGACATACTCTTGCATATCTTCGGTCTTTTTGTCGTTTCTTTTAAGCAAATCGTCTAAGTATTCAACTTCTTCAGTGAGTCGAGAGTAATTTTCCTTTGTTCTGGCTAACTGCTTTGAAGAGACTTCAAGAGTTGAGATCAAGCTTTTGTTTCTTTCTATAAACTTGATAAGGGTAGAATACCTAGTAAGAATTCTGCAACATTTGTCCATTTCTCATAGTTCTCTTCGCGGATTACCAACCTTCTGATAATTGCCCGATCAACTGCGATGTTATTGGCGAGGTCATATAAAGGAGTCTCTTCTTTGTTGATTTCATCCTTAAATTGTTCAAAGTCTATAAGCCACAAAAATTAATAAATTTGGGTAAAATAGAGATCGCTTACTGATATAAAAGTATTGTTGGTCTGCTTTGATTTGCTCAATTATTTTCTCTACCTATAATAAAGCTCTTTAGAAACAGCCAAATCTCTTCTACCTCTTCTTGGTTACCACCAAGCCCAAGATAATCAGAGCCAAAGCTACTGACGCTGATATCAGACTTAATGGATTGGAATGCAGACATCATGTCCGAAATTAATAAAGAATATTTCCTTATATTATTGAAAAATTAGGGGTTTTGGGGTTTTGGGGTTTTGGGGTTTTGGGG